AGCTCAGGGGCAGTGCTGGTTGCCAGGGCTGGCCTGTGGTTTGACCAGGTGCCCAGGGGTGACTACACTCACAGTCAGCTCCACATCGGTTGTCGGCTATGTACTCAGGTGGCTACGGGGCTGATGGGTTGGTTCTATGTGGTTTGGCCCCTGAGGGAGCCAGGACATGGTTACTGCTTGGCCCCTGAAGTCAGAGCCCTTCTGTCTCTGAGAACACACACTGACAGTATTGGTGAGGCCAGGTAGAAAGGCCCAGAGCCTCATCCATAACTTGGTAAAGTGATCCTCCTCGCTCGTGCCAAGGTCCCCTCCAGTCCTACTCCCATGTTACTCCTCCCTGACCTCTGCAGAAGTACAGAGCTCTGGACTTTCCCTGGCCTAGTGCCCAGTGATGCCCCTTTGGATGCCATTGTAGAGACTCCTTCTCCTGGCTCATTGGACAGCACCACCTGTACCAGGCCTTTCTGGAAGGACAGCAGTAATGACTGCCTACAACTGGGAAAACAGACCCAGAGCCAGGGAATAGGTGACTTCACCCCAGACACTGCTGTCCTATTTCCCTAGTCCCCCCCTCCTGACTGAGTGGTTTCCTGGATTGCAGGGACTCCAGCAGGCAGCTGGCCTGGGAACAGAACCACAGTTGGGCTATCCCTGAGAAACCTCTGGCGGGGCCCTTCTGAGCCAAGAGCTCTTGCCCTCTGGCTCACTCCTAGGAGTGTGCAGAAGGGTGAGTTTTCCTCTGCACCTCACTTCCAGAGTTGATGGAGAGAAGAATTATACTTGTCAATGCAGGGGGACCCTAGTTTAAGCCACCCACACTCACCCAACATTAGCAACGAGGGAGTCATTAGCCCCGTTTTCCCCCAAATCCTCTTTAAACCAAAGAATTCTGCTTTTAAGAACCAGATCTTGGGCTGGGGTTGTGGTTCAGTGGTAGAGCACTTGCCTAGCATGTGTGAGGTAATGGGTTTGATCCTCAGCACCACATCAAAATAAATAAATAAAATAAAGGTATAGTGTTCATCTACAACAAAAAGGAAAAAAAAAAAAAAACCCCAAATCTCAGCCAGGTGTGGTAGTGCCTGCCTGTAATCCCAGCTACTTGTGAGTTTGAGGCAGGAGGATTGCAAGTTCAAGGTCAGCCTGGGCAATTTAGATCCTGTCTTGAAATTAAAAATAAAAAGGGAGCTTGGAGTGGAGCCCAGTGGTAGAGTAGCCCTGGGTTCAATCCCCAGTACCAAATAAATAAATAAATAAATAATAAGTCTCCTTATGTACACCACTAGTTTTCACGGGTTTTGAATAAGATTAGATGTATAGGAGATTCAGAAAACTTCAAGAAAAAGCTCAAGATCCATTCTACCTAGAAATTTAATCAGAAATGAAGAGAGAGTATCTCTAAATCTGAAAAGTGTTGTGTTGTGTTGTGTTTTCAGTATTCTGACTTAAGCTCTTTCTTACCTGAAATATTTTAGGAATATGTATAGTTCAAAGGACAGGAAGGCGAAAGGACATAATTCTAAGTGACAGGTTGGCAGGCCTGCTTTTGTGACATGAGCGGAGATGTACACCCAACTGGGTCATCTCTTCCTGACTAGTTTTGTGCAGTGAGTGGCTCTTACTCAGTTGGGGCTCTGAACAGGCAACAGAGAGGGTCCTGCTGAGAAAATAGACTCACAGAAAAGAAACTCAATGATGGTAACAATAATATTGAACTTTACTCCATGCCAGGCACTATTAGTACTTTACTTGTATCAGTCTATTCCATTTTCACCACAACACTGCAAAATAGTACTTTTTCTCCATGTTATATATTGGAAGCTGAAGCACAGAGAGGTTAAGAAACTTGCCCTACATCACACAGTTATTAAGAAGAGACGTAGCTAGGATTTGTACCTCGATATTTGACTTTAGAACTAATACTTTGGCAGTGGCTTGATGAAGCAGTCAACATAAATTCTGTGGAGGAGGAATAGGCATGAGATGAGTATCCCTGTGAATCTTTGTAGATTGAGCATTTCTGGACTCTGGCAGCTCTGGGAAGCCAATGGTGGGCCTCTGGGGCTTCTTGCTGGGATCTCTGAGAATGAGATAGGTCCTATCAGTGGCTCAAGTTTAAATTCTGAACTTCAGTCCTCCTACTCCAAACATAAAATGTCACAAAGAACTCTTTCCTTCAGTGAAAAGCAAAAGCAGACTTCCGGCCGAAATGGGGGGATGCAACCCTAAGTCTAGTCAAGCACCTAGCTCCCTTGGGGTAGTTCTCAAGGTAGCCCCCCTGCCCCCAAATAAACAGTGCCTCCGTCAGCCCTGCACCAGTCTCTAACATTGCTGCCACAGCCTTGCCTCAGTTGAAATGCTAATACCCCCGCAAGTGCTTTTCAGCTTAAGTGATTACCAGCCAGTGCGCCAGGCTGGCACTCAGGAGTGGGGGATTCGTTTAACAAATCTTCAAGGGCCAGCTGTTGCGAGGGCGCAGAGGAAAGTGACGAATGACACATCAGAGAGTCAGGCATCACCTCCTTCTCTGGGCTCTGCACAGGGCTTGCAGGACCCTGGACTGGAGGGGGCTTCTGGATGCCGCCCAGGGCAGGCAGTGGAGGGGCGGTGCCCGCAGAGCTGGGATGCCCAGGAGGACTTGAGCCCCCTCTGCTCAAGGTAGCACCAACCTTTCTCTGTCTCTATCTCTCTGTCTCTGAGGCTTCTAGCCTAGACAGAGACCTTGAAAAAGGTCACCACATGCAAGACCTGGAGGGAGGAAGAAGGGTGCAGTTACAGCCATAAGAACCTGAACTAGCCGGTCCTTAGGAAAATCTTGCTCAGCACAAGAAGGAAACCTTTCAGAAGAGAGAAAGGAAAGCTACCTGTTGGCAGGTGAAGAGGCCTGTGCTTTATCACACAGGATAGGGAAAGGGCACTTAGACGGAAGGCACAGGTTTTCCCGGGTTTCTTGTGGACCTGTCCAACCACTCTGGGCAGCTGAGAACTTCTCTTATCTCGGAGTTATTGGAGCAGATAAGTGACTTTCATAGCTTCCCCAGCCTTTTCCCAGCCTCCTCTGGCCTCTCCCCTGTCAATACCATCTGAATTGAAGGCTTGTCAAAGTCTTCTCTTTGCCCTATTCACTCTTGCCTCAGCCACCTCCCCCACCACCTCTCTCTCTCTTCAATTCCTTCTAGTCTGCAAGTACTGCCTGCCCCAAACCCAGCTCTGCCTGTCCTCCTGCCCCTTGTAACAAACTCATTCTTCACACCCCATTTAAGCAATTCTGAGACCTGCCCCACAAATTTCTGGCTCCTTCCTGGGCCCAGAACACATCCCAATCCAGTTCCCTTCTGAGCTGGGCTTTGGTTGACCTCCCATCCAGAAACCTTTTCCCTGTCCCTTCAGGGCTTCTCTGCCTTTCAGCCTGCCCTAGATCCATGCCAGAGCCTTCTGGGAGCCCAGCACCAGATAATGGTGGTTGTTTTAAAAACCTACCTCAACATAGTCACCCTAGGACCCAGCAGCTCCACGTGTAGGTATATACTCAAGAGAAATGAAAGCATGTATCCACACAAAAATTTGCATATGAATGTTCATAGCAGCATTATTCATAATAGTCAATAAGTGAAATCAACCAAATACCCAAGAGTAGATGGGTGGATAAATAATATGTGGCAATGGGGTACCATTCAGCCATTATGCTAAATGAGAGACCGGTCACAAAAGACCACAGAGTATATGATTCCACTTATGTGAAATGCCCAGAATGGGGGAATAAGTCGTTACAGAGCATTGGTTAGTAGTTGCCTAGGGCAGGAGGTGGTGTGGAGAGGGGTGGGGGGGTGACTGCTAACGGATATGGGTTTTTCCTTCTGAGATGACCCAAGTGGTGATGGTTTCACAACTCAGAACATGATCAAAACCATGGAATTGTATCCTTAAGTGTACAATTTTAAGCTGGGTGTGGTGGATTACACACACATGTAATCCCAGGAACTCAGGAGACTAAGGCAGGAGGATCACAAGTTCAAAGCCAGCCTGGGTAAATTAGCGAGATACTGTCTCAAAATAAAACTTTAAGGAAGTTTTTGGTAGGACATTTGCCTAGTATATAGTAGGCTTTGGGTTCAAATCCCAGTAACCATACACACACACACACACACACACACACACACAATTTGAATTTTATAGTATATAAATTATATATCAATTTTTTCATTTAAAAAATCTCAAAACTCAATCTATTAATTCACTCATTGAACATCTCTGTCTGGAGCCAGACCCTGTTTCAGAGGTGAACATGCCAGACAAGGCCTCTGCTTTTATGGAGCTTATGTTCTGAAGGGCAATTTTAGGTGGTGAGATAAAGGAAATGAAGCAGGACAGGGAGGAAGAGTGGCAGAGAAGGAGCCTATTTTAGCTGAGTGTTCAGAGAAGGCCTCTCTGAGCAGGTGACATTAAAGCTGATACCTGAATGAACAGAGATAGCCAGGCGTGCAAAGAATGGGGTGGGGTGGCGGTGGCCTGGCAGACAGATGCAAGTTCAAGAAGGTCTAAGGTGCCCATCCCTTTGGCCCAGCACCCCAGTCTTCCCTGCACAGGGACATTGTCATGCACAGGGTGAAGGCCTAGCCTGGGTCTAACAGGGCAGTCAGGCTTGTGTACCCCTCTCCTGACTCCCCCCAGTCTTAACCCCAGCCCCTGAGAAAGGTGAGATGTCACTATGGAGTCTGGGATGACTGAGTTGGGAGGGAAGCCTCCGCTCTTCTTCCCCATCATTCTGGCTTGAGATAGGATCATTAAGATGTCCTAGCTCCTCGGGGGTCCCTGCCTCCTGGTTTTTTGTCCATGAATCCCATGCCATCTCATCCAGGAGCTGTCTGCCCCTTTGGGGATGGATAGGGGCTGGGGACACCACTTCTGATTGCTCTACAGTTCTGCTGACCTTCTTCCCTGGTCCTTCAAAAAAGAGACTGTCCATCTGAGCAGGGAAGGAGGAAGGAAGATGTCGAGCACCCTTGCTGTCTAGCAGGAGCCCCTGAGCAAAAGCGTAGGTGAATGTCAGTGCCGCAGACCCTGGGGCTGCCCAGACGGCTTGGGGATGGGCCTCAGCAGCAGTCTTCCTCACTCTGGGGTGGGGGGCAAGAATGGGGGACTGGCACCTCACTGCCCAGACCTCTTTTTATTTGGAGCCATTCAGTCCCTCCTCTTTGCACAGAACCAGGTGAGCAAAGCAGGTGCCCCAAGTAGGGCCAGGTCAAGGTGGCCACGTGTCTATCTGGGGAAGGCAGAACACCTGGGCTGAGAAGGGTCAGCACTGTCCTAGAGGTCACACAGCAGACACAGCCAGGCAGGCACCTCCAGCAGAGCCACTACTAGACTGGGAGAGAGAGGACCCTGGCTCCCCCACATTTGCACCTTCTGTGTGAAGACATTAGTAAGCAGCTTGGTCATCGCCCAGACATAGGTTTCCGAGACCGTCCAGGCTGTTTCTGGGCTTCCCTAGAAACACTGGTCTTGTGGGGGAATAAAGGTTCTCCTCTAATAGGCCTGAGTTAACCTCTGAACCCAGGGCCAGGGAAAGGAAGGTCAATGACATTCTGTTGGGCTTTGCCTGGATTGGGTCCCACGTTGCAGCTCTCTTCTACTGCATGCTCTTGCCCAGCCTGGACCTCAGTTTCCTGATTTGCTGCATGGGTAGAACTCTTAGGTCCTTGCTGCCCCTGTAGTTGGGATGTTGTGTAGCGGTGAGTAGGGAACAAGGCACAGTTTCGTGTCTCTCTCACAGATCCTGGGCCATTATCTCAGAGTCGCCACAGGTGCAGGTGCACGGGTAGCCTTGGGGGGAGACCCAGGGGTCTATGCCCAGCCTTGACCTTTAGCAAGCCCAGGAGTGGGGTGATGAGCACTGCTGAGCAGCCTTGGAGGAAGCTACGTGGGTATAGCAGAGGGAAACTGAGGCTCAGAGGGCTAAGTATAAGTGACTTGCCCCAAACCATACTCCAGGAAAGACAGAGGTGGGCCTAGAAGCTAGTATTCTGATTATAAATCCCACTACATCCTTGATGCCAAAACTCTTTTCACATTCTTATTCCATATTTTCCAATTACCCACATTCCTGGAAGGGGCATGGACCAAGTCATTTAAAAAGGCAATAAATGTCTTTCAGTCTGGATCTGGGACTTCTTTTTTTCTTGGCTACAATATATCATTTTAAAGAAATTTGTTCAGATTGATTTTTGGAATGCTCAGGCACAGCCCTGCTGAGGCAACTGTGAAGGGTGGGCAGTCTGAGATCAAAAAACAAGATTTTCTGTGATACATATGTCCCCATTTGTTTAGAACAGGTCTCCACCCCCCAAGAACCCAGGCCCAATATGGGCTCATCCCTCCCAGCCCCAGTTGTAGGTGTCAGACTCAAATCACAGCCTGACTCCTGTCAGGAAGCACAGTGAGGGCATTTCCAAAGCCTGTTCCTTCTGTCACTGGCCCTGGGGACCAAAAACAAAACAACAACAAAAAAGCCCCTTGTGGACATTTCATGTTTTTCTTAAGAATGACACAGTGGGCCAGACATGATAGCTCACACCTGTAATTCCTGTAATTCCAGGGAGGTTGAGGCAGGAGGGTTACAAATTAAAGGCCAGCCTGAGCAACTTAGTGAGACCCTATCTCAAAATTAAAAAAATAAAATAAAAAATAAAAAGGGTTGGGGATGTGGCTCAGTGATTAAGCACCTCTGGGTTCAATCCTTGGTACAAAAGGAAAATTAAAAAAAAAAAAAAAGAATGACAAAGTGAGCACTTATCAGTACACACACCAAAAAAATGACAAGCTGAGCTGGATCTGGTAAGGCTCACCTGACATCCCAGTGCCTTGGGAGGCCGAGACAGAAAAATCAGGTCTGCCTGAGCAACTTAGTGAGACCCTGTCTCAAAATGAAAAAGGATGAGGTTGTAGCACAGTGGTGGAGTGCTTGCCTGGGGTGTAAGAGACCCTGGGATCAATCTGAAATAGAAGGAAGGGAGGGAGGGAGGGAAAGACATTTACAGAGAGTACAGGGTAGAGACTGGGGTGAAGGAAGGAAGGAAGGAAGGAAGGAAGGAAGGAAGGAAGGAAGGAAGGAAGGAAGGAAGGAAGGAAGGAAGGAAGGATCTTCCACTGTTCTACTCAGGACCTTCCTGGCAGTCCATCCCGACATTATTCTTTATCTTTCTGTCACCATCACCTCCATCAAATAATCTAATAAAAATCCTCCTTCAGCCTCCAGACAGTTCTTTTTCCCCAGGTCATCCCACGCAGAGTGGGAGGAAAGCCCTCGGGCACTGTTCCCATTCCAAGTAGCACCACCCAGGAGCCTGGATCGAGCACCTTCTCAGTGCTGCGCGTGGTGCCAGGCTGCGGCAGGAAGCTTGCTGGGGGTAGGGTGGGCAGCCATTGCAGTCTTAGGCATTTAGAGCTGCGAAGACACCAGCAGGCGCATGTTCTAGAGGCTACAGCAGCTCCCTGTTGCTTCCTAACCCTACCGTTCAAGTCTCTGAAGAATCTAGCTTCTGCTTTCAGCTGGCCCACAGCCCCTCCAGCATGGCTGGGTCCGTGGCCCAACACCTGCCCCTTACATGCACGCGCACATATATAGACACTCTCCTCCATGAAAAAACAGCCTGCCAGGGGGAACTTAAAGCCAAAAGACCTGGGTTAGAGTCTGGCTCTGTCAGCTACTTGTTAAGTTCACTCATGGGTCAAATGGGCAGGATCACAAAGTCAGTCTCATAGCATCTTTTGTCCACTGAACGTCCTGGTAATGTAAACAGACTTTAGTGGCTCTCTCGTAAATGGTAACTATTATTATCCATTTTTTTTTACACCTCCCACAGTTTCCTCCCATCTCAGTTTACCGATCCCAGGTCCCATTTCCTCAAGACTTTACCACAGGACCAGTTGTGGCACTTAACCCTTTTGAGGTTGGTTTTTGGTCTTGTGATGCTGGAGGTGGAAAGCACATGTTCCACCCCTGGGCTGCACCCCAGTCCTCACTCAGGATTATTAAAGCAATAATGAGAATGTGTTAATTCTTTTATATATATATATACTGGGGATCGAACCCAGGGGCTTTCAACCACTGAGCCTCATCCCCAGACATTTTTAATATTTTATTTAGAGACAGGGTCTCACTGAGTTGCTAAGGCTGGCTTTGAAATCGCCATCCTTCTGCTCAGCCTCCCCAGCCCCTGGGATTACAACAGCATACCCGGCTGAGAGTGTTTTAATTCTTCAAAGAGAGTATTTGCACTTGACTTGGGACAACTCTGCTTTACCACCAAGTGTGTGAGGGGGGCTCTTGTGCTGAGTACTGGGGTCCATGGAGGGAAGCTCGAGGTGCACATAGGAGATTCTCTTGCTCTCTCTGAAGTCGCCATCTGGGAGTTTGCCTAGTCTATTCTGTTCAGGCCAAGGAAGGGGAAAAAGAGAGAGAGTCGTTAGGAGAGGTCCGCCATTGTTATCAACCCACAGTGCGCCTTGGCAACCCCTCTGAACTGGGTGCCAAGAGCAGGCAAATGAGATGTGGCAGCAGCAGTGCAGGAAGCAGAAGCACACGGAAGCAGGGTGAGCATCACAGGGAGGTGGCAGGGGCAGCCTGGCCAGGCTGCCAGGGCTGGCGACTGCCTGAGCAGGCGCCCCAGGGAGAGCCAGAGGAGTTAGGAGACCTGCACAGGCCTCCCACCTCACAGCCTGCCTTCCGTCCATCTCCTCCTAACATGGGCCTAGAAGTGGCATCCCCACCCCACCCCCACGCCCTCCCTGAATTCTGAGCTGGGAACACTCTGGGGTCAAGAACAGTAATCTCCCCAACAGATCAGCCTGGAAACAAGAAATGAGAAAATAACAAAATAAGGAACTGCTGCTATCAGCAGAGCTCTTCTGATAAAGCATTTAATCAGATATGGGGCCAGATGAGAGGACCGGGAGCTACCAGGTTCAAGGGAAGCTCTGGCAAGGCTGCAGGGTTGCTGGGGGCCTCCCCAGTCTCTTCAGCATGCTGGACACCCAGAGGGGTGCACCCCATCCCTCCAGTTTTTCATAATCTGAGAAAGTTTCTTCACAACCTTTTAGAAACTTCTTTGCTGGCCAGGCTTCTCCCACACATGTTAGCCTCTCAGGCTGGTCCCTGAAAATATGAGTCTTTAGTCCTTTTTCTGAGAGTCTGGTTATTGGATAGAATTGTCCCCCAAAGACCTTGACGGAGCCTTAGAGGCCCCATTTATTCATTCTTTGCTGATGGAACGGTCCCCAGCACACCTGCCATGGGCTCTTCTGTGATCTGAAGTCAGGGAGGATCACCCAGGTCACCACTCAGACCGGTTTCGGTAGGGATAACCTCAGGTCCTTCCTTCCTTCCTTCCTTCCAGACAGTAGCCAGGCACAGGGCTCATGACCTGTGTAACCTGAGGAGTCACCAAGTGGCCTAAACACCAGGTTGTGGGCTTTGGTTCTGGCGGCTCAGGTCAGCGCCTGGAAGGAAAGGCCCCCTGCCCATTTCTGGGTGGAATGCACACCTCTCCCCTGGGCAAGAGGAGGCTCAGCAAAGGGACTTCCAGGATCAGGTTGGAGGCCCACCTTGGGCTACAGGCATATGGCGTCACCCTTTCCTCACCATACTCACAGCAGCTTGCCTGAGAGGGAGGGAAAATCGTAAGCAATTTAAGCAACTTGAAATTGTTTCTGAGTACAATGACAGCAGTTAGTCTTTTTCTACCGTCTCTTGAGTCCTCACAGCACCCTGAGGAGACAGGCACGCTCAACAGCTTGCCCACACGCACAGGTGGTGGGCCAGAGCCTCCTCAGCTTCCTTCCCTTGCTACCAAGTAGATAGGGAAGTGCCAGGGCTTCTCAAGGCCACCCAGCCAGTGGAGGACAAGGACACAGGTGCCCCATGGAAGGCTCTGGGTCCCTCCACTGACTCCGCCCCTCCTTTGCCCCAGCCTGGCCCAGTCCTTATGGGCCCTCTTCACCTCTACCCTGGCCATCTCTCTGGTGTTTGTCGTCATCCCCTTCTGCCGAGATGTGAAGGTGCTGGCCTCGGTCATGGCGCTGGCGGGCTTGGCCATGGGCTGCATCGACACGGTGGCCAACATGCAGCTGGTGAGGATGTACCAGAAGGACTCGGCCGTCTTCCTCCAGGTGAGCCCAGCCAGCAGGTATGGGGTTGGATGGTGGGTGGAGCACAAGAGCTGCCTGCGCCTGGTCCCTCTCTGCCAGCCCTGTGCCTAAGAAGCTTTCCCTCCGGGCAAGGGTGGTGACTCAGCCCAGCGTGACCACTTACCAGTGGGCCACACCTGCAGTCACTCAATCCTCTGGGCTTGGGTTTCCTCATCTGTGAAGTGGGTCGTGATCTCTATCTGCCATGCAAGGTTGTCATGGGAACCCAGAGCTAACGAGAGAAAGTTCTTTGTGAACTGCAAAAGGGTGATTGATGGAGGGCCGGGCCGTTTGCTCTCCGGACCCCTTCCCTGCCTTCTCCACCTTCCCTGGCTCCTCCCATTTTCTTCTTTCTCTTCCCAGACACCAGGATCCCATCCAGAGCTGCCTCGGTGTCCTCTTCCCTGTAGGATGTTGGCTGGTGGATTCAACAGCCCCAGCTGGGGGTTGATTGGGGAAGGAAGAAAGAGGGAGGGAGGGGATTGGCCTCTGTAACCCAGGTTATCCCAGCCCAGGGGTGGTGAGAGCCAGGCTCCACCCCGCCCTCTTTCACCTTTCCTGCTTCCCAGTCCTTCTTCCTCCCGGTTCTGGGGCTGGGCAATGGCACCAGGTGCGGTCAGAGGGGGAGGTGGAAGCCCAGGCCAGAAGACTGAGCCACGCCCCGACCCACCCACAGGTGCTCCACTTCTTTGTGGGCTTTGGTGCTCTGCTGAGCCCCCTGATCGCAGACCCCTTCCTGTCTGAGGCCAACTGCTTTCCTGCCAATAGCACAGCAAACACCACCACCAGAAGCCACCTGTTCCACGCCTCCCAGATCCTGGGCCTGCACCATGCAAAAGCCCAGCCTGGGTCCAACCAGACGGTCCCTGGGCTGCCCCCGAAGGGCGGGACTGAGGTCCGAGTGTCCTACGCCTTCTGGATTATGGCCCTTATCAATGTGAGTGTCGCTGGGACAGGCTGGGTGGGGAGCTAGTGGACAGTCCACACCTCCTGGTCCATCCAGCTTCCACTGCAGATTCTGAGAAACATGTGGGGACGGAGGGGTGCTGCCGGGAGACAGAGGGTGGGAGAGCTGAGCCCCCTGGTTTGGCCTCTGGATTGCAGTTCTCCAGAAAGGTGGGCAGTGAGCCAGTGAAGCAGACGTGGAAGAGAGACCATGCCAACGCTGGGTTCCTCTCTGGGGTCCTTCATCATGGGGGGAATCTCCTGTGCCCCGCTGTTAGGGTCTCCTCCGACAGCTGTGGGAGGGACAAGATGACTTCCGAGGGGCATTGCCTATGGTGTGGGCAGAGAGAGACCACACCTTGTGCCGCATCAGATACCCGGTTTCCACTGCAGCCCCAGACAAACCAGCCGTTCCTCAGTTCTTCATCTGGAAGCCTCCTCTGGTACTCTGCTACCCAGGAAGATCCCCTTAGCATCCCCCGAGGAGTAGAGAGCAGGTCCCCACCCCCACCCCAGTCTTGGGAAAGACAATCCAGAAACACCAGAGCTGCCTGACCTCCTGGCTCAGGCCTAGCATGGAGCCTGGGGTGGGGAATGTTCCAGGTGGTCATTGGCCCGCTTATGGGACAAGGACCCTGAGTGGTTTGTCACCCTGATGTAGAGCCTCTCTCTGAACTAAGCAGGGTTGGCTCTTCAGAGACAGCTGCTGCTCCAGAGCCTCAGTGACACAATACATGTAGCACTGGAAGTGGCCCTGAGCACTGAGCGGCACCACAGCAGGTGTCCCACCCTAACTGGCTCACGGCCCTGAGCAGGGGACAGCAAGAGGCCAGGTGGAGCTGGAAGCCCCTGCTCCTACCTTCCAGCAGAGATCTACTGCCCACCCCCCTGGTCACCGTGGCCTCGGACCTCCTTTCCCTGGCTGGGGTCTTCTCGGGGGTCTCAGCAGCACACCCCTCGCCCGCCACTTCCTTTCCTGTTCATGCTATCCACTGTTTTGGAACGATGCAGATTTAGACCTGTGTCTTCCAAGGGGTCCCTGTGACGGGAAGGATCAAGGACAGGGACAAGGGAGCCCAAAGGCCCTTGTCTGTTCTTTCTTGCCCCCGTGAGGTGCAGACTGGAGGCAGTTAGGTTGCTGCAGGATTTGGGGACTTTTCCCACTGGTTTATGTCGGATCCAGCCCGCCACAGAAGAGAACTTGGCAGTGCTTGCACATGGGACGCCATCCCTCACCCGGAGGCACACCCCACCTGGCACTAGCAGGCATTAGCAGGCTTTCAAGGTGGTGCTGCCTTCCCTGAATGGGATTCTTCTGAAAATTGGGTGCGATCCTCCCAGCACCCACCTCCCTGGAAGGCCCCACCTGAGCGATCACGCCTCAGGCCGGCTGTTTCCCCTTGGCCTTCACCCAGGCATTCTGCCACTGCAGGCCTCTGTGTGGGTTTCCTGTTTCCCCCAGCAGACTGGAGGAAGGGCCATGTCTCCCCCATCAGGCCCGGGACTCCCTGAGGGCGGGGCTGTGTCTCTTCCCACCCAGGCCCCATTTGCTACTTTACAGCTGCCAGGGACTGTCTGACCTTGACTTGCTTTTGAATATGCAGAAGGTCTCTCAAGGTCACATAGGGAGGTGTCAGTAGAGTGTGGGGTGGATTTTTTTCTTTCAGGCTGGCACGAGCCCGTCTGCCTGGGGGAGGGAGAGGGGCTCCCCCGAAGCTGTGGCTAGCTGTGCTCCCCAGCTTCTGGGAGCCTGTAGCTCCTTCCTCTTCTTCCAAAGTAAATCAGGAAGGCTTCAGCAGACTTGCCAGAGCACTTCCTGGCAGGGAGGGTGGCGAGACCCAGGCCAGGGCACCCGAGGGAGGCCGTGGTGGCTTCTCCAGGCAACATCAGAAGGAGGAGACCTTTCCCGTCACCCCGGGGAATCTCAGCGAGGGCCTGAGTGGCTTAGTGTAAAGAACAGAGCACCGAACACTGAGCTCACAAACATGGGCTTGTCAGAACGAGGTCATGTCTGTCTTCCAGTTTGAACCACAGGCTCCTGAGCACAGCCGGGTACCCTGCTAGGACATCACCTCACCCGGGCAGCCTCAGGTGGACATGGTGCTGAGCAGAATCCTGAGACCAGGTTCTGGTCTAGCTCTGCCCAAGCCAGCTGCGTGACCATGACTCCCCTTTCTGGGCCTCTGGTTTATTTCCAAGGTCCCTTTGGTCCTTGGAAATAAACCAGATAACTTTGGTCCTCAGTTGCCCCATCTGGAAACCCAGTCAGCCACCGGGTTCCTTAGCTACCGTGGCTCCTCTGTGAGGTGGGTCCCTTGGGAAGGAGCTGTGTTCTCCCAGGACTGAGCAGAAGAGCGTGTGCAGGGTACCGCCCGGAGGGGTAGCAGCAGGCCAGTGTGGGAGGGGGAGCCTCTGCTGCGGCGCTGTGCTGACCTCTCCCGCCCCCCAGCTTCCAGTGCCCATGGCAGTGCTGTTTCTGCTGTCCAAGGAGCGGCTGCTGACCTGCTTCTCTCAGAGGAAGCCCTTGCTCCTTCCTGCAGACGAGCTGGCCCTGGAGACTCGGCCTCCAGAGAAGGAAGACACCTCCTCACTACCCCCGAAGTTTCAGCCACACTCAGGTGAGGCTCACAGCCTCTGAGGCTTCCCTGGTAACCCCTTCCCCAGAGATGAACCCAGATCACATGGTTAGGAAAAAAAAAAAAAAAACTTGTGACTCCAAGAACTTTGAGGCAGGAGATGGAGCAACCTGGCCAAGAGAACAGGGAAGACAGACTTTGGGCTCTAATGTCCATTCTACTCAACCCTGCCTGTGTTACCTTGGGCAAGTTACTTGACCTCTCTGACCCTTGGTTCTACCAGGACTGGGAGAAGGACGGGGGATGTTCCTAAAAGCTAGCGGAAAGCTGGGATAGGTGGAAGCAGTCAGGAGCCCTTTTCTGCCAGGGCTCTTCTGACTGCCAGGCGCGTCTTCTGGGCAGGCAAAGGGAGGGGGGCAGAAGCTGAGCCTCAGCCCTGCTCTTCCTCCGCCTCCTCCAGGGCACGAGGACCTGTTCAGCTGCTGCCAACGGAAGAACTGCCGAGGAGCCCCTTATTCTTTCTTTGCCATCCATGTCACAGCAGCCCTGGTCCTGTTCATGACGGATGGGATGACGGTGAGCCTGCCTCCGACACCCCCGTCTGAGGATGGTGCGAGAGAGGTCCGTCAAGGTTCCCAGAGACCTCCCTTGCAGTACCATTGATCCAAAAGTTTAAACTTTTTTTTTTTGGTACCAGGAATTGAACTCAGGGCCACTCGACCACTGAGCCACATCCCCAGCCCTGTTTTGTATTTTATTTAGAGACAGGGTCTCACTGAGTTGCTTAGGGCCTTGCTTTTGCTGAGGCTGGCTTTGAACTTGTGGTTCTCCTGCTTCAGCCTCCTGAGTCGCTGGGATGACAGGCATGTGCCACTGTGCCAGGTCCCAACATTTAAACTTTTAAAGTCCTTGGAGACATGGTCCCCAGGTTCACTCATAGCATTGGTACCATGGGCTTCTGTCCTGGCTGATTGTATTTATTTTTGTCACCTCTACATAGGGGCCTATATGAGTTTTCACTTATTATGTGAGCCACTTTTTTTCTTTTTTCTCTTCTTTTCTTTTCTTTTTTTTTTTTAAAGAGGCAGATCCCTGTTCCCCTAATAGAGGTCATGCCATATGAGCTCTGGGGTGCTTGGCTTCTTGGCTGTGTTGCAAACCCACCTTCTCAAGCCAGTGCTGTAAACCAGCCACAGGGAGGGCTTAGGCCCAGCTGTTCATCCCATTAGTGTGACCTCTGTTATGTTATTTAGTTCCTTTTTCCACAAAATCTTTTAGGACTAGATTAGGACACTCTTGAATGGCTGACCCATAGACTGGTTGCAATAGGGAGAACCCTCCAGAGAGAAGGCCCTAAAACACTTAATGACCTGGTGGAAATTACTCCTGACAACCTGGTTGACTTCCAACTCTCAGGGTGACCTTGGACAAGTCACTTTTGCGACTCTCATCTATCAAATGAGCAACGTGTGCATACCTTGTTTTTAGCTAAGGAGCAGTGCCCGTCTGCCTAGGCCCCATGGGGACACCCCGTGGAGATCCAGAGACATCTCTTGGGAACCTCTGAGTCTCTGCAGATGTGGCTCTAAGCCAAGACACCCAGGTTCTGTCCTTAGCTAGGGCCTAAGTGTGCTCTGTGGTCTTGGCTCCAGGGCCTATCCCTGCAGAGCCTCTGGGCCAGGGCCAGTCAGTCCGCCAGGGCCTGGACAGCGTGTGCTCAACAGAGCCTGCTCTCTCCACAGGGGGCATACTCAGCCTTCGTGTATAGCTATGCAGTGGAGAAGCCGCTTTCTGTGGGACACAAGGTGGCAGGTTACCTCCCCAGCCTCTTCTGGGGCTTCATTACCCTGGGCCGGCTCATCTCCATTCCCATCTCATCAAGAATGAGGCCGGTCACCATGGTTTTCACCAATGTGGTAAGTGGCTAAGTGGCCTCCTTCCCTTCTTAGTGACTCAGAAGAACTTGTCTACTCCTGGCCCTCCCGCTGCCCCAGAACATTTGCTCGGGATGGCACTCTGCCAACAAATGCAAAAGTAGAGGGAGGAGAGAAAGTGAGAGATGCTGGGGCGGACGGATGGGATCTGAGCAGAGCGCTCATCTGTGCCACTTTGGAAAAAATCCCTTCTCCTCTGTGGGCCTCTGATTTTACACCCTTAAAAGCCTTCACAGAATAGGCTTTTGGAGGCGGTGTGTGGAACAGACCCTACTGATTGCCAAGGGCACAAGGGAGGGGCGTGTTGGCCTTGGCACACCTGTTTATTATGGTGCCAGCTGGTCAGTAGTGGCCAGAGATCCCCCAGCCTTTGTAATCATTCGCCAGGCTGCGCCTGGGAACTTGCATGTTGTAGCTCTCCTGTCCCGTATGCCAGGCCTGGCATTGAGGATGACCTTTAAGGATGACAGAGGCGTCCAGATGACAGATCCTAATGGGGCCATTTAGTCCAGCCTTCCACCAAGGTGTGAATCGCCTCTGACATGCCTTCCAAGTGTTCTCCCGTGACTGGGAGTGCACTCTTTTTCCAGGAAACCCAATCCACGGTAAGAAGGTACTTCTTCTATTGAATTTCCAGCACACAGGAGGCGTGGACCTATGTTGGGGCTATAGAGACAAAGATCGTGAGCCCCAAGAGAGGCCCTTGGACTTGGCCTTGTGCTTATCAATAATCTTCTGGAAAGATATCTCAGTTCCGCGTCGATGGGAGTGAGGGGGGTAGGAGCTAAACTTCCAAGGCTGAGATGGGAAGTAGAGGAGTGAGCGCCCATTTCACTTTGCACATATGTCTGCGTTGAAGGGAGCTGGGGTGTGGGGACCTGCTCACGGGCGGAGGAGAAAGGGAGGAAGCCAGCGAGGAGAGGAGTCATGATGCTGAGGAAGGGTCTGGGGAAGGGAAATGGGGTGAGGAACAGGGAGCGAAGGAAGCATTGAGCTAAGTAAAGGAGGAAGGAGTGGGGAGGAGAGATCCCAGTGGGCTGCCAGGTGACGTGGGGGATGGGGACATGGTGGCCTGCCTCAGCTTCCTCCTCCAGGGTGGAGGGGAAAGTGGGTGGGAATCAGTTTTGAGAGAATGTCCAGGGGGCTTAGTGATCTGTTAATTTAACAAATGCCCTGGGGGGGGTTCGCATCCTCAAGGTTGGGAAAACACTGTCCTAGAAAGAGTGATTCCAAACAGCTCAGACTCAATGGAGGTTCTCTTAGAAAACGGATCCCTGAGTCCCCATGCAGAGCTGCCACTGCAGGTGGCGTGGCGAGTCCTCTGGGCCTCTGAGTGGTTCTGCAGGTTTTGCGGGGGCCCTTGCCGGCCATCCTGTCTGGGAACTGCGGCTACCCAGCCTTGAGCAAACCTCCCCATGTCACAGCTGTGATGTCACAACATTATATTTCTTGTGACCACTTCCAGGACAGCCTCCCAAGGTAAACAGTTCCTGGTTCTCAGTGTTCTCCTGGAGTCATGGACCACTTCCGACTCTGTGCACGTGCTTATGTGAAGTCCTGTGGGAACTAGGGGTGCCCCGTGGGAGCAGAAAGAGATGGGTCTGGGGAGCAGAGCAGGGCTGCTTCCTGTAGAGTGGTGTACACCAGGTTTGGATTTTATTCTAAGTGAGCAGGAAACCATTGGGAGGTTTCAAACAGGGAATGGATTTGATCTGCATTGCATTTTGAAAGTGCCCTCTAGTTGCTCTGTGGAAGGTCAGACTGTAGGGGCCAGGAGTGACAGGAGGGACCTGTGAGAATCTGTTATTATTGTCCGGGCAAGATGAGCGTGGTCAGGATGTATCTGGAGAGAGAGAAAGATCCTAGAACATTTTTTGAGGTAGGGTTGACAGGACTTGCCATTGACCTGAAGCAGGAGATAAGGGAAGAAGGAATCAGGGGCCATCTAGGGGCAGAGCTTGAGCAACTGCATCAGTGAGGATTGTACTGCTCAGCTTTCTGTCACCGTGATGAAGTGCCGGAGGTAATTATAAAGAGAAAAGGTTTATCTTGGCTCATGCGTTGGAGGTTCCTGTTCATGATCAGGTGGACCCATTGCTTTGGGCCTCTGATAGACGTGTCAGATGGCAGTGGCCAGGAGCTTGGCTGAGCATACGGCTCACCTCATGAGCCAAAAGGAGAGAGGAAGAGGCCAAGATCCCACAATCCCCTTCAAGGTCACTCCCAGATGACCTAAGGACCTCCCATAAGGCCTCACCTCCTGAAGGTTCCACCACCTCCCCACAGCGCCACCCTGAGGACCAAGTCTAACACACAGGCCTTTCAAGATCTCCACCAGAGCAGGGACGCTTGTTTTTTCCCCATTTTTGAGAGCCAAGTTTTTTATTTGCTCATGCCTTGCATTTGAAGTACTCTTCCATGACACCTTTCCCTGAGATTCTCCACGTAGTCCTAAACCACTTCACAACCGGTCCCTTAATAGGCTTCCCTTCCCTGTCCGTTTACAGAGGCCCGCCCTTTCCCCTAGCTTCTCATTTTCCTCAACCTCAAATATTTGATGTGGTGCTCAGCACAAAGGGTGTCCTCCACCTTGACATTCATAGACTCCTCATAGTTGGATGCAAGCACACAAAGATGGGCTTGGTCCTCCCCGAAGGCTTTGGCAGCTTCGCAGATCTCCATGTGCTAGGCCATCGCTTCTTGTAAAGCAGTGTCCACGTCCATCACACTCTAGCACTATGCATCTCTCATCCATGGCCATGGGTTATAGAGGAAGCCAAATCTGTGTGTGTGCACGTTCTAAACATAGAACCCAGGTCCTTGCCCATGCAAAGCACATGATCTACCACTAAGCTACACCCCCAGCTCCTGGAGCTACACTGGAGCCTCGGCCTCCTCATAGCATGTTGGCAGCAAGAAAAAAAAAGCAGAGGATGGTATTAATTGCCATGGGGAGGAGTAAACGAGTAAAGGAATTCAAAAGTTCGGTTTGGGGGACATTGCTAGTCATCCAGTGATTGACCATATCAAAGGGCAGTTTTATATGCAAGACTGAAGTTCTGGATGCAGCTCACAGCTGGGGGCATAACTGTAAGATACCCTGCCATGGAGACATTCAAAACCCTGGAGCTGCGTGAAGGGGGAAAGTGGATAGAGAAGAACCAGAGAGGAATCCTAGGCCCCTGTGACATTTAGAGACTGAGCAGAGGAGGGAAAGAGAACAAAGGGAGCCATGGCACCGAAGAACACATTGTGTTTGGAAGCATGGATTTGTCGGGTTGCTTTCATATTTTTGCTGCATGGAAGAAGTCTTTGGTGTTGCTTCTCCATGGTGAGGGAATGCATCGTTTCTCTTCGGAAACGCTTTTGTGCTGAATTCCTCTCCAGGGCAGGAAGTCTGAGTCTGATACACAACTCACAGAACATGTCACACCGAAGAGGTCATGAGGCAGAGCTGGAGGGGCTGGGAGGAGAGCCACAGGATCAGGGTTGGGGTTAGTGGCTTTGCTCCTTGGGCTGGTGTAACCCCACACACACACACCATGTCTACTATTACTCTTGAAAGGGCTCTTCCTTTCTGCCTGCCCAGCTCCTCATCTGTGAGCTGCACAGAGTGGGCATTAGCCTACAGTGATTTCTTGCCTGCTTTCTGGGTTTGTATTCTTAGTTTTTCCTGGAAACAGATGTCCTTGCCCAGGATATTTTTGTTGGTGTTGCCCTGCTGGAGACGGAGGCCAAGGCTAGGCCAGTGCTCTACCCCTGAGTTATACTCCAGACCACAGCCCAGGACATTTTTTTCTCAAAGCTGTGAGCTTCTATAGAAGATCTTTATTTCCTGGGAAATTAAGAAAATCCCACACATAGAGCTGGGAGTGTAGTTAATTGGCAAAGCACTTAGTTAGCATGCAAAAGGTCCTGGGATTGATCCCCAGCACTGTTTATTCGGCATGCATGGTGGGGCATTTGCCTAGATGTCCAGGTAGGCCGCTTCCCTGGGCCCTCTGAGGTCCTCTCAGGGCTTCCTTCCTGGATCCCAGACTGGGAATGTTGCAGTTCCCAAATCGTCCACTGAGTGGCGCACTGATCACACGGCGCTGCACAAGGGGCCCGGGAGGCAGCTCAGTCTGGGGACTCTGGACTTTTTCCCTTCTCGATGGATGCCCGGCTTTGCCCAATCTCTGATCACCTCCACCTCTGCTGCAACAGATAGGCGTGGTGGTGACTTTCCTCGTGCTGCTTATTTTCTCCTCCAACGTCATTTTCCTGTTCGTGGGGACAGCGAGTCTGGGCCTGTTCCTCAGCAGCACCTTCCCGAGCATGCTGGCCTACACCGAGGACATCCTCCAGTACAAAGGTGAGTGCCGGCTGGGAGCAAAGACGCACCCACTCTTGGGCCGGACGCCCCCTCCTCTCCCGCGCCCCATCTTCCTGCGGTCCTCTAGGCCAGCCACAGTACTCCAGCAGGGAGATCGCTGTGACTCCTCCTGATGGGTGGAGCTGGTAGGTGTTGGGCTCAACCTTAGACCTGAATCCCTATGCCTTCAGGCCTCAGAGAAGCAGTACGGCTTCTTTCCAGTATGGTAATGTCTGTGGACCTACAGCTGACCTTGTATGGATCCTGTGCGCTGGAAGTTCCAAATTGAAAGAAAACAATATTTCATGAGACAATTTAGAACCCTAGGAAGGCATTTTATTATGGGTTTAGCAGTGCTGGGGATTGAATTCCAGGCTCGTGCAGTCTCCAAGCATAGTACCCTGGAGCTACACCCCCAGACCAGGAGAGGCCTTCCTTCCTTCCTTCCTCAAACCAGGGATTAAACCCAGAGGTGCTTAACCACTGACCAGTCCTTTTTACTTTTTATTTTGAGATGGGGTCTCCCAAAGTTGCTTAGAGACTTGCCAAGTAAGTTGCTGAGGCTGGCCTTGAACTTGTGATCACCCTCCTCAGCCTTCTGGGTAACTAGAATCACAGGCATGCACCTGCCATTTCATAATGAAGCACTTTCATTAAATTCATAATTTAATGAAAGCGCCTCCTTGCTTTGTTGTGGGATGTTGTTGAAAGCAAACTTCACACCTGGCTTGAAGTTGACACAGCTTTGATGTCAGAAACCTGATTCTCTCAACTAACCTCCTTTCCCTTCCCATAACCCCTCTAAGTATGTACAGTACTGATATTTTTTAATAAGTTAATTAAAAATAATTGTGTTTTGAACATTTAACATCACCCTTAGAAGTAACTAGATGCCCTGGCTGGAGGTTGGAAAATCAGCATTAAGATGAGAGAAATTAGCACTGTATCCACCTTGATTTCCCACAGTTATGAGAGACAGGGAAGAGTCTGGATTTTTGAAATCCAAGGAAAACTCAAATACTTTCAGCTTACAATGTCATCATTGGTTGTTAAGAAAGAATAAAATATTTTCTACGATAAACTTGCACATATTTTGTTTTCCAAATGAAACTTCTTATTATGAAAGTAGTAAATACTCACTGGGAAAACCTCAAACAATAGAAGCATGTTTTAAAGCAGTAAATGAAAGTCGCCCAAAATAACTTCTCGGCAGTTTTTCCTCCCAGTTCCCTTCCAAGCATGTATTATATATTTGTGTGAGTATATTTAAGTGCAAATGAGACTCTACCTACACTATTTCATATTTGTCATTTAGAAGAAAAACAGTTCATGTGAGAGGATGAATCAAAGAATCAAACATATTTGAGGTTCTGGGCTTCTGGCTCCTCCAAGTGGGCTACTCTCCTTGACCTGAGAAATGCCCCCAAGCAGCACACGCCTGGTTATATTCCAGTGAACCGTGACCAAAGAGGTCCTGGCCTCCCTGTAACTGAGGACTGAGATACAGTAGCTGTCAGTCATCATCTGGCCGTCCCTCACCATCTCTGTGCCACTGGGGAAACAGTGCAGGGGACATGCCCAGGGAGACAGTCTCTTCCCCCAGCTCATCCATCCCAGCATAGTACCAGTACAGCCATAAAACAGCAGCCTGTGGCTCCACCAGCTCCCCGGGGCGGGCCCTGAGTGCTCAGGTTCCAAATGAAGTAACGAAAGAATGTCATCACATGCCGCACAGTATATCCCCCAGAGCATCAAGTGACCAACACGTGTTAGCTCAAGAAGTCATCCTGATCGGGCCTGAGAATGATCACCCACACCCATCTTCTTTTCTCACTATCTCTGCTTAACTTGGGACCTCATCATCCCTTACCTGCTTGGGATATTGAGCAGAGGCTGGCTTTCCCAGTTTTTGGTCACCCCTCCCTGCCTTGAGAAGCCCTGGTGTGTTTCCTTGTCTTTAGTCTTGCCTCTGTCTAACCAGCTGGCTCAGTCTCACGGTGAACCATCTGGGGCTCCTGGAACAAGACCAGTGACCGGGCCTCCCCTGGTGATGTCATGGGCTGCAGCTGCTGGGTGGTTCTAAGGTGTAGCTGGGTCTGAGGACCCCGTAAGCCGCCCTCCATGCTGCTGCAGAGGGAGCGCTTTAAGACACAGCCGTGGAATCTGGGATCCTCCTATGGACCCCTTCCCTTTCTTCGTGGCCTTCCCTGTCCTTGCTGCACCTCGGAGCCTGCCTTCCAGCCAACTCCTTGGTGTTTCTTGATGATGCTGCTCTGGACCTCCATGCTTTGGCCGGTGGCTGCCTCTGCCTGGACTGTGTGCTCTGTTCCATCTTCCCCTTTGCCTACTTGGCCCTTTCCCATCCTTTGGGAAGCTTCTCTGATTTCCCTAGAAAAGTGTGTCCCCTCCTTTGTGTTCCACTGATTCATACCTGCCCCTGCTGCGTGGCCCATCCCAAGGCTTTCATACCCATGCGCTCCGCCTCTCCTCGACAGCATGCTGCAGGCTGGTGACAGGGGTGCAAACAGTGTGGGCTTTGAAGTCATCAGCAGACCTGTCAGTCCTGCTGCACGCTTGCTGCTTATGACCTCGTGCAACCCATTTCCTTCCCTTCCCTGGCCCCAGTTTCCTCATCTGAAAAGTAAGGATACAAAGACCCACCTGTTGGGATTGTTTTGTGCATTGGAGAAAATGTAAAGCCCTAGGCTTGGGCGTCTTTGCTGGCTGAGGTGCTGGGTATCTGCTTGTCCTTATTTTTCATCTATCATCCTCAGTGTTCAATAGTACCTTGAACTTGGAAGGCCCTCCCAGTGTGCCGAATGAATGTGTGAAACAGTTGGATGCCCTTGGAATTCAGAGAAGGGAGTGAGCGGTGAATTTAGACAGGTCATGGAGCTAGTGGGGTGTGAGTGGCTCAGGATTTATAAAGGCAGAGAGAGAAAAGGAAAGAAAGGTATTCCATGGAGGGGCGGCACTGGACAGGATGGTGGTGAGGGAGACTGAAAGAGAGGGAAGGAGCACGCTGCCCTGGGAGGAGATGATGCACTGCTAGCGCTGCCTTCCCTGGCTGGCCAACGTGCGGCTGTAAGTGCTGGTGTGCGCCAGGGAACCGAGTCAGGGCATAGTCATCTTCCTGGCCTTCAGCCTAGAGGGGAAGGCTGGCAGGTCCACAGCCAGGGAGGTAGGAACAGGGTGCAGGGGGCTGTCAGGGCCCAGAGGAGAAGCTGCGGACCAGGCTCCTGAAGGAAATCTAAACAAAGAACTCAAACAGGAACGTGGTGGTGCACACCTGTGGGCCCAGCACTTGGGCAGCTGGGGCTGGAAGAGCTCTCCTTCAATCTAGAAGTTCAGGCCAACCTGGGCAACACAGCGAGACCCCAACCACCATCTCAAAAAAAAAAAAAAAAAGCATAGGAGTTTGCCAAAGAGGAGGAGGAGGAGGAATGTTGAGGAGGGCATGCGGGCATGTCGGGGCTGGCAGTGAGAGAGTATGCAGGGTTAAGGAACCCAGGATAGTTCTTCCTTGCGGAGGGGAGTAGAGCAGGCAGTGAGAGCTAGGCCCTACAGACCATGTGCCCATGAGGACTTTGGCCCGAAGGTGAGCAGAAGGGTTGAAGCAGAAAGCCCACTGGTTCTGAGCATTTAGGCATCCCAATGCCCATCTTACATAAAAGGAAAGTGAGGCCTACAGAATTTAGAGAAGTTACCTGAGGCACATAGCTAGTGATCAAGCTAGCCTGGGAACCCAAGTCTGATGCTGAAGCTTGGGCTCTGCAGGTCTGCCCGGGGCCACCCGATGCAGCAGAGCATGTGGCTGGTCTGTCACGGTGCCAGGAGAGTAAAGATCCTGGTCTGCTCTCTGATGCATTGGAGGTTATTAGGAAACTTTTCTGGAATGGGAGGTGGTGTTCAGATTGGGATAAGTCCCAGGTGCCCAGCTAAGCATCATGGGATTCCCCCTGAAGACACTGTGAGCAATGAAAGGCAAGGACAGTAAGCTGTAGGCATTCTCGAAGCAAAGTTACAGGGTAAAGTCTGAGAAGCTTTAGGAATCCAAAGGAGTCCTTTTAGCCATTCCATGTCCTAGAGGTTTTCCAGAAGCATCCTGGGTAATCAGCTGACTTCTGATTCCTCCTCACCTTGCTCTAACCCTAACCTAACCCATCTCTCTCTGTCAGGCTGTGCGACCACAGTGCTGGTGACAGGGGCAGGGATTGGCGAGATGGTCCTGCAGATGCTGGTTGGTTTGGTACGTGGGGTCCTCTGGGGGGTGGGTTGGGGGAACACCCATCCAGACAGGTGAGAAGATGCAGCCAGCACCTTCTGGCCTGAGCTGTCTGTCTCCAGAGTTCCTCAGAGCCTGTGGGTCCCACCCTGCCAGGGTTAACCTGTTTTTCCCAGCCAACCTCAAAAGCTGGGCCTGCAAATGTGGGATCTGGGGACATGAACAGACGTGTGGACTAATCCAAAGCAAACACAAGCCACGTCTGGGAGTGGGGCCAGGGGTGACCCGTGGGAATGCTGTTTGGCTCTCAGATCCTGAGACCGTGTGAGCTGCAGTTAGAGATCTTCCATCCCTGCTCCCTTGACCACCTCTCTCTGCCTGTGGCCACGCTGCACATGGCCCAGCCTCCTGCCCTGACCAAGCACTGGCTCTCCCAGCTCTCCCCAAATATGCCTGTGTTCCATTAAGAACATCATCAAGAAAACAAAACGAAACAAAATAAAAAGCTAATATCTGCTTTTTCTTGAATACTACAATATAGATATTCCCCTTTTTTAAACAGGGGACACTGAAACTTAGATAAATTTAGCAACTGGCCTGAGGTCAGTCACACTTCTAGTAACTAACAACAGTGACATGGAACCTAGGTATTTTGGTCTCCAAAGTCTCCCTCATTACCACTCCACTCTCCTTTCCTTTTGCCCTGCTGCATGGAGGAGAAGAGCCCCGTCTCATGATGCCCTTGGCCCTATAATGACGCCATGTCTGGGATTTATTTCAGTGTAATCCAGTGCAGGAAAGAAGTGGAAGGTCACAGGTGAAATCAGTGCTAAAGTTGGGAGATACATCTATGAGAGTTCCATATGCTACTTTGACATGTTTTAAATTTTCATAATAAAAAATGTTGAAGAAAATATACATCCTCTGAAAATTTCCAGTTAGGTCTATGAGGATAGAAACACCTTGTGTGATCGGAGTTTCAACGATGATATGGAGATTTTCAGAAAGTTCCAGAACCCGGAGCTGAAAGACTACAGGGGGTCACCAGGTCTGACCCCAGCCTTTGGGCAGGATTTCTGCCTCCCCCAGACACAAACTTTTGAAAAGACCAAGACTTCTGTCCTCCACATATTCCTGTCCATTGGTGCCATGGCCTCAGCCTGACAAGAGAAGCCTGCCAAGGGTCCGAGACGGTGCTTCCGCCGAGGCACTTTCCACTTGACGTTTCAATGCCTGAATCTCTGTGTTTTCCCCTTTGGCAGATATTCCAGGCCCAGGGCAGCTATAGTTTCCTGGTCTGCGGCGTGATCTTTGGCTGCTTGGCTTTTACCTTCTATGTCTTGCTCCTGTTTTTCCACAGGATGCACCCTGAACTCTCATCAGGTGAGGAAAAGATCCGCTTCTACACAAGAGGAGGAAAACAGTGAGGGGGAGGGAGGGGGAGAGGCTGGGATCTTAGCACGCCACAAGTGCAGCTCTGTTCCAAGTAAAATGCAAGGAAATGTTTATTTTTCTACAGCTTCCTTTCCCCCTCTTCCTGCTTTCCCTGCGATTGTCCGCGCTGAACTCTTAAAGCCGGTGGGAGTGGGGCAGGCTGACTCATGGTTTCTCCATTAGCAGAGGGACCCGGATTGTGAACTTGGCTTCCTGCATCCCACCATGCTGTGGCACCACGGCCAAATACCTCTTTCCAGCTTGTGAGGGCACCGAGAGGCACAGACCGCCTCCCTGGCTGGAACTTGGCCCAGCAGCCTCATTGGCCAACTCTTTGCAGTTCAGGATTTTGATTCTGGTGCAGATCTCTTGTCCAAAAGAAGTTCTTTAAGCCAAATGACAAAGAACAGCTCCTTCGGGGCAGAGATACCTCCTAAGAATAGTCTCCCTCCTGGAGACCCCAGGCAGGGGGAGTCCCAAGCTATTTTCATAACCCTGAGCCCTCAACCTGTGCCTGCCCAGAGCTCTCAAAGTGCCCAGCAACTACGGCTGTGCGCATGGCTAGTTCTTAAGATAAGGTGCCCAGACAGTCCTGGTCCACTCCATAGAAAGCAGAATAATCATAAAAAGACTGAAAACAGGTATGCACTGTCCTCTGTGTCACTGGGTGAACATATCCGCCCCGTGAACACTCAGAGTAAAGGCCCAGAAGTTCAGGAGGATCTCCCCACCTAGAACAGCTCTAACCACAGACTTGCTTCTGAGAAGGCAAGTGCCAATCATTGGCTAGCTCAGCACTCAGCACAGAGTGTAAGACAAACATTCAGTTAATATTTGCTGAATATCAGGTTGGGGATGTGGCTTAGTGGTGGAATGCTTGCCTAGCACATATGAGGCCCTGGGTTCAATCCCCAGCACTACAGGAAAAAAAAAAATCTGAGTATCAAATGAGCAACACCTTTCCTGTTCCTTCTCCATGGGAGGCAAAAATAAATGCGCATTCTTAGAGCTCCAGACATTAGCCTCAGCAAACTGCCTGGAACTGACTTCTTACTGGGCTCCCAAATGAGCTGTGGAACACCAGAGACAAAAAGCTCAGGTCAATGCTCAGAATCAGTAATTGCTGCAGGGAGTCTGAGCAGCTGAGACATGCTACCTAATTTATTTATTTATTTATTTATTTATTTATTTATTTATTGTAGCTTCTACCCCAGACCGACCGCTTGGAATGGAGAACTCTGATTACTACCAGAGGTGAAACCGGGGGCAGGTGAGGCTCCAGCCTCCTGAGCACCAACGCACCTGGACTGTGGAAGGCAGCCGAGGGTCGCAGTGGAGTGGCCTCTTCTCAAAGCCTTTGCTCTAATCTTTTCCACTTGGACTCAGTTGGGCAGAAAAAATTAAATTGAGTCCCCATTAAATTTGCCTGGGGTCCTCCTCTGGCAAATCATTGGATTTTCCTGGTGATTCCAGTTACCTTCTCTTCCTCAGTTCAGACTCAGGTAGGGCCGTCCAGGATACTGAGACAGGAAGGTAGAAGACAGCTGTGCACGTCACTTTGTCACTTTGTGCATAGACTATACCCTGGGTTTGAGGTCACTCTTAGATGAAGTTTGAAAAACTAGGTTGACATGGTAAAGCGTGTTGATCGTTGCTCTTTGTGGATGTTTTCAATGGATCAAAACCAACCCTGTTATTCCCTGGCATGTTCAAAAAGGACTGATGTGCTTTCTACTTACTCATGGTCCCAAGTTCCTCCCATTCCTGCTGCAGAGATCAATGGTTCATATGTATTCTAAGACTCAGAAGGAGAAGTTGAATTGGGTTCTCTTTGGGACACTAATTCAGTGGTATGCTGGGCTTGCTCACGCCAGCTTAGAAAAGCTGATCAGGTAATAAATAATCAAAACTTACCACTGCCTAATTTTATTCTATGGAGGCTCTTGAGATCATTCTGTCTGTATTATAGGGGTGGAGAGGTTACCAGGTGATAAAGTGCTGCTGGGCATCTCTTCCCAACTCCACCATGTTGGCAGCTTGTGATCAATTATGGTGGAAGTATGTATACCACTAGCAACTGGCAAAAGTTACAAATTAGAGCTTTCCCCCACCCTGGGGAGCCAGTAGTTAAATATTTACCAGTATACCACTGCTAGTAAGCAATGCTAATTGGTCCAGAAATCCCCTGGGAGAAAGAGATGGCCTGTTTTTCTTTTCTGTTTTTCTTTACTGGGATGACAAGCATGTAAAAAGGTATAAAAACAGCACTAAGAATTTCCAAACATATTTCACTTAAATTTTACATTTTTTTTTTTTTTAGAGGAAAAAACCTTTTATACTATGTCAAGGTCTTTTCTCTAACAATTACCTGGGACTACTGAAAAATTCTAGCCTCACAGTATTCAGAAAGCAGTGTCTTATCAAGGAATTAGGAGTCCTAGGAAGGGGAGAGGCAGTAACATAAAGTGAGAATATGAACTCTTCAACTCAGACAGGGCTAAGAGTACTGTGGCTTCTAGAAGTATAAAATAGCTGTTACAAGAACTGGTTTGCCTGTATTTTCTTGATGTATATACAAATGTACATGTATAAATATAAAAATCCCAAGGGCTGTAGTTCACATGCCTGACACTGAAAGGTTTTTCCTGGATCTTCAGGTGTTGACAAGTTAGCCAGCTCTGACTACTACCAACTGCATAGCCATGAGATTGTGGCTGGAGAGAGATCTGGGCCGAGCACTGGCCTCCCTTCCAGCTGTGTGACCCTGGGTGGATCACAGAGGCTGTTCCAACCTCACTTTTTTTTAACCAGTAAAGTGGAATTTCTAAAAGTACCCTACCTCACAGGAATTCTGAAAAAATTAAGGGAATTTGTATAAAGCACTTGCTATGCCTGGCATAACTTGCTTGATATACATTAGGAATTTTTATTTTCAAAGCCTCCTCCTAAGCATTTTAGAAATTGTTCATGTTTGGTACATATTTATTGTTAAGTCAGAAAGACCAGACTTCTTTGGAAAGCTAGCAGTCTCGCGGTATAGTTTTAACTATGTTTGTAAATACTTTTAAGATTAGCCAAATTCAAATGTGCACTCTGACTGTAGTGACTGACCTGGCAAAAAGAAAGCAATTGTATTTTCTTGTGGTTTTGGGGAAAAAAAAATCCTTTTTATAGAGATTTAGAAGGCAGAATCATTAACTATATCTAAGTTGATCATGATTAATTTGTTAATAAAGAAAATAAGATTAAAACAAATTTAAGTAACTTTCCTAAAATAAAATATTTTAAACTTAGTAAGTGTGTTATCCATTTTGAAGGACAATTGAATGATCTGGAAAGAGGTCTTGCTCATCTATAGGTTCCTACGGCTGATATTATTTACATTATTTATATATTTGGGGGGAGTAAACATTCTGAAGGTGGAACCTAGGATGTCATACATCCTAGGCAAGAGCTGTGTCACTGACTACACCCCCCGCTCTCATGGCTGATATTTCAGAAGGACACTAACTGCTGAGGGCCCCTATTCCCTCTGACATGTCATTGAAGAAGGAGAAAGCAATAGGCTTTCACACCACAAAGTGAGTTACAAAGTAAGCAGGGCTTCCTTCCTGATCTTCAAGTTTTGACATTTCAAAGTACCATGAAGTCACCGTGTTCCCAGATTCCCTATTACATGGATATGAGAATCTAACCCATCAGCACACTTGAGTCACCAAAGGAAGATACAGTGATATAGACACAGAGGCCTGATATAGAGAATGCATTTATTCATTCGAAACAGTCTGATCCAGGTGCAGTTTCAGCAGTGAGAAGTCTCTGCCTCACAGTGACCACACTGCAATTGAAGAAACAGGCACAGACATCACTGTTTCAGATAACACACAGAAAGGTGAGAGGTAGTGGAATACCACAGAGAAATAGAAAGCAGGGCAGGGGGTGGGTGGGAAGAGGGAATGCACACAGATGCTCTGAAGACTTTACTAAGGAGATACCACTTGTGCAGGACCTAAGAAGAAAAGCCATCCAAGTACCTGGCAAAGATCTTTTTAGACAGGGGACATGGCGAGTCCAATGGTCTTAGACTAGAATGTGCTTTATAAAATTTGAGGAACAGCAAATGGACTAGTGTGGCTTAAGTGAGGAAGGAAGACAGTGGCAGGAAGTAGGCTGAGTGCTGGCTGGGGGCCAGACCAATAAGCCAGGCAAGGAATGTGGAAATTTTTGTATGTGATGTGAGATTATTAGGAGAGTTGCAAGCAGTGTAGTGACACGGTTTGACTTAGAGGTTTTAAAGTACCATTCTGGGTGTTATGCGGAGATGGGACTATAGGGCAAGCACAGAATGTGAAAGACCAGCTTGATGTGATACTGGAACATGTCAGTAGCAGCGGAATTGGTGGAAGTGATTGGATCAAAGCTGTATTTGGAAGGCCAAACTGGCAGAATTTGCTGATGGATTGAGTACAGGGTGTGAGGCAAAGATAGGAATTGAGGATGATGCCTGGGCATTTGACCTAAGGAACTGAGTATATGAGAAGGTCACTTAAGGGCTTGAGTTGTGGCTCAGTGGTAGGACATGTGAGGCCCTGTGTTCTAACCTTAGCACCACATAAAAACAAATAAACAACAACAAATAAATAAAGGTTAAAAAAAAAAGAAGGCCACTTAATACTAGAAAGCATTGGGACCACTCAGGAGTCTTGTTTTACACATGCTCGCCTCACAATAGTAACTTGGGTGTCAAGAAGACAGCTAGATAAAGATGTCTAGAGCCTACATGTCACGGCTGAAGATGTAAATTTTGTGATCACATACATATAGAAGGTTCAAATCCATGGGACTGAATGAGACCAGCTAGGGAGTGAATGTAGAGATTCAAAGATCTAAAGATCAGGGTTCTTCAACACCTCGAGGTTTAACAAGATTCGATCCAGCACAGCAAATGAGAGAAGCCAGAGGTAAGAGGAAGTTCAAGAGAAAATGTGGTTTCTTAGAAGTTAGGTGAAGAGTATCTAAAGAAGGAATCAGTGCTGTCAAGAGGCAAACCAAGGAATGAATATCAACTGCTGAACCTGGCAACACAGATGGTGACCTTGATTTCAGAGAGGCTACGTATTCAAAACAAATACAAATCACGGAGTGGACTCTGGCACTCCAGCAACTTCCTGAACACCAGAGCTCGTCACTTGACCCGCACAGCTGTTAGAGATCTTTGCCTCCATTTCACCTTCAATATTATCCACTGCTGGGTTACTACTTTAGAGTTACTCCCTCTGAAGTCACTTTTATCGACTCCTTCAGGCATAGGGTGTACTGCCACCAGTGCTGGGCTTCATAGCCACATCAATATGAAATCTTACAACTGTTAATGATTATCTCCCACCTGACAATGCCAGCTCTGAAACAAAGTGTTAGTGTATTAGTGTGTCATCCGATCCATCTGTAAAACACAAAGTGCTTGCCAATTAAGCATGCCTCTCAATAGAGGTTAGAAAATAAATGAAGGACTTGAAGCATCTGATATTCTAAAATGCACCTGAATCTCCAAGTACTGAAGACTCCTTTATGAGCTCATGGGATTACTGTTCTAGGTAATGTGTTTTAAGAATGGTACTTTAGGAGAGTTTATCAGTTCCCACAAGAGAATATCAGCCAATGAGCATCGTCATCTGAAGTGACATCTCACAAGGGTAGGTGAATTGCCTCACCAGCAATTTTCATCTAGAGATATGAAATAGCTTTCTGATATGATTTTTCCATCTATTAATCCCAATTTCCCCAAATGTGTTATTTCAAACCAGTTCTGAAAGGCCTCATTTCATTTGTTAAATGAACTTAAATCTCCGCTTTTGTAGCTCAAAAACCATACAAAGAAACGTGCTAAAACAGAAATAAGCAAAAGTTGCTCTTTTCAAAGGCTACAATAAAGGCATCTTATTAAAAAATGTTTTTAAAAAACCTTTAAAATGTCAATAAAGTAAAATAGAGATTTCACATAATTAATAATTTTTTCTTGCTGGTCAGTTCTCTTTTAATTCACTTTATGCCAACAATCATTTGCAGTCTCCCCTTTTCACTGCCTGTCCCAACCTAGACTTTAAATATTTTAATGTAGATACATATCAAGTAGTTGAAGATCAGGTTTAACCAAAAAGCACTGGGAAAATTAAATTCCTTCCTTACCCCTTGTTAGCATGGATGAAAATACAATACAATGCACAGAGATTATCTCAAGAAATGTGAAAGAAGGGAAATGAATAATCAATCCAGAAAATTATTTTGTTAAAAATATTTATTTAAAAAAATACAACTGTTGTCCATATCTAGTTGCACATATATCTACTAATATATCTGTATAATTTTGGACTTGTAGTAAATTTGCTACAGTGCTTTCTTAAAGCCAGCTTGCATTATACAAAGCAAATTCCTCTGTCAGTTCTTACACAAAATAGTTTAAAAATGTATCATCTTTCTTAAAAGATACATACCACCATTATACAATTTAACAAAATTTTTGCATAAAACATGGGAGGTGATAGAAAAAATGACCACCTGGTTGGTTACTCAGAGCAACCCCTTACAATGTGTGGAGATGCACCGAGTATCAATTGTTTTTTTTTTTTTTTTTAAAGCAGCATATTATAAAGCCCTCAAAGTGCTTGCATATCCCTTTCTTTACCCACCTAAACTCTGCATAAAGTTTCTTTGTGCACAGAGACAGAATTCCAGACTCAGAGATACAATCACCCTAATCAACCCTGAACAACATGCCTTTGTTCACCAGGTAAACCCTGCTGCTGGCTAGATGACAAGGCAGTTTCTATTGGCTTCACCAACAATTCATGTGAATTTTCATAACCACTAGCAGTTACCACTTTAACTGCCTTTTAAGGAAGAAGGAAAAAAAGGTGATTTTAATACTCTGAACGTCTCCCTAATGTAAGTTAAACTGAAATTAATTAACATAAGTTATTAATAATACCTTAAAATACTCATTCTGGGTAGTTGTGCACTTGTACTATATCTAATAGAGTTTGTTATTTAATATCATTTAATTTTTAAATGCTGGCCATATTTTATAGTCCACAAACCAGTTTCAACTCTAAACCACCCAGAGTATGAAATTTAAAAGAATCTAACCTACAGTTAACTCCCATTGATCCTTAGTTGTCTCTCAGATATCTTTTGCTTTTTAAGATCCAGTAGGGCCCATGGAAAATTATTAGTTTGTTCTTCAAAATGCAAAGTTAAGTCAGGTGTAATACCTGTAGTTCCAGCTACTCAACAGGGCTGAGGCAGGACTACTTGAGTCTAGGAGTTCAAAGTCAGCCTGGGCAACATACCAGACCCAGGCACAAAAGAAAAGCAAACTTATACATACTTCTTCTTTTCTTAAGCCAATCTGATTATCTGGTGAATAAAGGGCATAATTCTAAGAAATTACTTCTGATCAAAATTTTATTTGCCTCTAAACAAAGCTATCCAGTAGCAAAATGAACTGAAATTCATATTTAAATCTTCCCTACTCCACAAAGATAAATGAAACTGTTAGAAGGCAAAGTGAAGAAATACATGACTATGACTAGAAAAGAGTAGGAGCCAAACAGAATAAATAGGCCCCCAATGATCAGAAGTTAATTGTATTAATTTCTTTTTTATCTTTATATAGATGCATCTTAGTTAATTTCACTAATACTGAACAGGGAAGTTTATAAAATATGTTTCTCTATCATATAAACAATGAATGCAAGCAATGAATGTACACACAAAGGCCACTGGTAATACTGCCCCAAAATACAAACAAAAAAAGAAATGTCTCAGAAGGGATTAAGTCCTCTACATGATAGACAAGAAAACAACTGAACATGAACAAAACAAAACAAAAAACTTATAGCTGGATTTTTTTCATATTTAAGTATAATCTAGCAACTGCACATCTTTTAAAAATCATAGAGTACATTAAAGCTTGCAAATTACTTTAAAACATCCTAACCCAAAGAGCCTACCTTACAGAACCTAGAAGAATGGTTCACTAGGTGGTCTTTTATCCTTTCCCCACACACTCCTAAGTTCCTCCCACAAAGTAAATGAGAAATAAACCTTACTCCCATGACCCCTAATATACTAAGCTGAAATTAAACAAAATAATCATTAAGTGCTTCCAGTTATTAAAAACAAAAACAGTGCTAATAATGGTGCCCAAGAAAGTGCGAAGTGATTTAATATGGTATATTCCACCATGAATGCCAGGC